AGTGCCTTTCAGCCTTTCACGTTTTCCCAGCGTTGGCGTTCACCAATAACAACCCAGTGGAGCCTCGGATCAAAGGACGGGCTCCTATTTCATGGAAGCTGAGTGAGAAGTTCTAGGTTCAAATCCTGGCGGTGCCCCCTGCTGGCCGTGGGACCTCGGGCACGCTTCCAAGTCTCCGCTGCCTAATATTAACTTGTAGAATGGGGATGACAGTATCTACCCCAAACAGCTGCTGAGAAGCTTAAAAATGTATCTCGCTGGCTCCGTGCCCCGCTCACAAATTGCTGCTCTGTGTCTCCTGTCTCTTCAAGGTCGACTCCGTGACCGAATCGCTCTCGCTCAATCCGGATCCTTGGCGCTCTCTGCTTTCGTACCTGCCGTGGGAAACTTCATGATTTAGTGCTCGTTTTAGAACAGAGCGTGTGTCCTTTTCAACATCCAGCTTTGTTGACATGCACCCATCACTTCCTCACAAGGATTCTTCAGACTGGGGTTCCTCCCAGCTGTGAGGCTCCGAGATTCGGGGACCGTCATCCTCTGGTTGACATTCTCATTTTAAAGATGAAAGAAAGAGGCCAAATGTTTGGCGCACAGCACCATGGGTAGGGTGGCGGATTTGGGCTCTCTCCCACTGATTTCTTGACATGTTTTCTAACTCCTCTGGGGGCTCTGTTCACCTCATCTATACAGGGAGCATGATAAAGCCACCTCCCTGCAGCGAAACCACACAAGTGTATCAAACACCGGGCCCAAACTAGGGATAGATGTTCGTCTCTTCCCACGTTCTCTCCTCCTCAGGTCCTACACCTTGCCGATGTCGCGAGAGCACCACATTCAAATTCTGGGCCCCAGGCTCACGACCTTGGGCTCTCTCCTACAGACTATGCTGCCCTTTTCAATTTTTATCTTTTAGGAGCTTGAAGATATTGGGGGACAGAGGCATCACCATGATAAGAAATAAGACCATCCACACCCTGTACCCTGACAGGTCCCAAACCTTAAACCATCGATCTATGGCCATAGGTACAAGCAGGAATGAACGTCTGTATATTCATTTTCACCATCTGTGAATAAAGGGGTACAGGGCCCAGTGAGCCTGCGCTGTGTGACTTACACTTGGGAAGAAGAGAAACAAGAGTGGGAAAAAGAAGGAAGAAGGGGAAGAGAAAGAGAGAGAAACAGGCATAGATACGGATTACAGATAGGCATGATATGTCTGTTCTATATATCTGTTATAATGTATATACAAGGGTGGGCAAAAGTAAGTTTACAGCTGTTCATATGGAAAATGATACAATAATGAATAAATAATAATACAGCCCTGGCCGGTTTGGCTCAGCGGTTAGAGCATCGGCCTGCAGTTCAGAGAAACCCAGGTTTGGTTCCCGCTAAGGGCACGTACCTCGGTTGCAGTTTGTCCCCGGCCCTGGTTGGGGTCGTGCAGGAGGCAGCCACTTGATGTGTCCCTTTCACGTTGATGTTTCTCTCTCTCTCTCTCTCTCTCTCGCTCACTTCCTCTCTCTCCCTCCCACTCAACCTGAACAAAAATGGAAAAATGTCCTTGGGTGAGGATAAAAAAAAAAAAATAATACAAAAATAATCTGTTTCATGTACTCACAACTATAAATCTACATTTGCCCACCCCGGTATATATTTATATCTTCCATCTATGTATGTATGTATGTCCGTATGTATGTATGTATGTGTCTATCTATCCGTCCGTCCATTTATCCATCCGTCCATCCATCCTCTATCTGTTTACCAGCTCAGTCATTTAGCTTTTTCGGGCATTTCAGTTTTATTCACTGAAACACAAGCTCCTAATCTGAATACTGTGAGTTATAAATTTCAAGCACCGATAGTCCAAACCCACAGAACTAGCCTCATGGGAGACGCTGACTGTGAGCTGGGGACCGTGTTCGTGTCCCCCGTGGGCGGCCCTTGGAAATGCAGTTTCCTTCTCTGGTTCCTAATCTCCTCACCTGAAAAGCCTGATCTGAGAATCTCAGATTGCTGGGTCCTTGGGACCTTTTATCCTCATTTAAAAAACAAAGAAACAAAACAAAAACACCTGGACCCAAGCTGGTTACGGTATCTGTCACTGAAGAACTCCCCAGACTGTGTGAACGAGTGGCCGCCACCTGCACGCCCCACGCTGCCGAGAGGTGAGGCAGCTGCTTGTCATCTCTTTCCTGGGAGGTCCCCAAGAATTCAAACGAAATTTTCGGAGACAGTTGTCCAGAGAATGACTGCAGCTTCTTAGAAGGGACAATCTTGATAGTTTCATTTTGCTTCAAAGAGTGATTCTTTTTTTTTTGAGAGAGAGGAAGGGAGAGGGAGAGAGAAATACAAACATTGACAAGAGAGAACTGGCCCCCTCCCGCATGCCCCCCACCGGGGATCGGGCCCACAACCCGGGCTTGTGCCGGCGACCCGTTGGTGCCTGGGTCGGCGCTCACCCACTGAACCACACTGGCTGGGCCAAAGAGTGATTCTTAAAAGACCACCCTAGAACTACCTGAATTGGAATTATCTTGTTAACATGAAAGATTCCCAACCTCTGTATAACCCTGCCAAAGCATAAGCCATGGGGTGGGGTTGAGGAGGAGAATTTTATTTTATTTTATTTATTTATTTATCCTCACCCAAGGACATTTTTTTTGTTTTGTTTTGTTTTGTTCAGATAGAGTGGGAGGGAGAGAGACAGAGAGAGAGAGAGAGAAACATGGACGCGAAAGGGACACATTGAGTGGCTGCCACCCGCACGACCCAACTGGGGCCAGGGACAAACTGCAACCGAGGTACGTGGCCTTAGCGGGAACCGAACCTGGGTTTCTCTGGACCGCAGGCCGATGCTCTAACTGCTGAGCCAAACAGGCCAGAGCAAGGAGGAGAATTTTAAACTGTTGTGATTCTGATACACACTAACTTTTGAAGACAATTCTTCATCCTTGGGTTTAACAATCCTGGATTATTTGAAATCTTTGCCTGTGCTGACCAGAACTGGGTAAACACATTTCCCCAGCAATTCCACAGTCAACTTTCCAGCGTGTTTTTGTCCACCAATGTCTGCTCCGTCTTGGGGAGAACAGGCCTCTGCTAAATGAATGCAGGTGTTGCAATGCCCAGAAAGGACCAGCAGGAGGCACCAGCTGCTCACATATTCCGTACCTGCCTTTTCTTCCTCTAGTTTTAAAATCCTTATTAATTTTTCTTTTAAAAGTGGAAAAAAACCAACCTTCAAGACTGCTTTCTTCAGAAAACAAAAAGCAAAACACAACAACTGTTTCCGGACCAAATGAAATCTCTCTTCCGTTTAATTGAATCAACATTATCAGTGTGTTTATTGTGTATGGTAACTCAAGACAGGCTGACCCACTTTCTAAGTAGGGCTATCTTCTCCAATTTCATTCTTTATTCAGTGGAAGGAGGAAAACTCCAGAGTTTATTTCACGGAAACCCACGGCCCCGTTCTCTGTCTATCAGCCTCACAGAGGTATTGGTATTGACAGACTGTCAAGTTTGAATACGTGCCTGTCTTCTCCAGCCCTGGAGTATTCTTTATTTTTGGATAGATTGTTTTTAGTATATAAAAATATATCCTTGATAGATTGTTTTTAGTATGTAAAAATATATGCTCCTGGAGAAAAACGAAGATACAGATGAGCAAAAGAACAAACATCACCATAATCCCCCGTCCCAAGACAACCGCCATAAACACACACACATGCACACACATACACACACATGCAGTCTATGTGTAGATCGGTTATAGACATGCAGGCTATGACAGTCACATCAGTGCACCCTCTCTGACACCCACATTTATAATGGCTGCACAGTCTCCTCTCACACGGATGCCCCGCCACATTTTCAGCTAATCCCATGGCAAAAAAGGTGACCGTTTGGAAGTACCCAGGAATGCGCTAATTGACAGGCAGGCTCTCCTGTCAGTCACCATGTGCGCCCTCTTGTAGGAGGTCTGTTACAGTAGAACAGACACCGAAGTGGGCTGCAGGCGTTCAGAGGGGGCAGTGTGCTTGCTGATGAGTATTACGGGTGGGCATGGACGCGAAGCGTGTGGGCAGGCCTGCGCAGCGGTACCTCAGTGCGCATTTGGGCTTAAGATCGGTTTCCTTGTCCCCGCTCATGTCTCTAGAATGTTGTCGGTGAGGTGGACGCCCCCCGTCCGTTTCTGTCTACCTCAGCGCGGGTGAGCAGCGAGGTCAGACGGAGAGGGGTGCAGGTCCCTGCGGTGTGTGATTCACCAGCCACAGCCTCAAATTAGCAGCTTCATGTCCAGGTGCCACCCCCGTGGCAGTTTCTAGTCTCCCCAGGACTCCAAGTGGAGGGTGGGATGGGGTATATGGAGACCAAGCTCCGGTCCAACGTGGAAGCGCCTCGCGAGAACACAGCCTCTGCCAGGCCCCGGCTGGGAAGCGGGAGGCAGTCGTGTTCTGTGGGAGGGCTTAGAGCTGGGGGCTCGTTTGGCACGTAGATTCACACTTGCCATTTTTATTTGACTTCCCCATTCTCCTCACGGTGCGTGGGGCGTGCTGAGTGCTGGGAGGTGCTCTGCGTGCACCCCGAGCGACCCTCGAATCCCTCCCCAGGTGCACCCCTCCTGTTCTCCGTCACGGCTCCGACACTTCCCGTCCATCTGTTCCCTCTGCCCCACTCCGGCCGTCATTTCTAGCCACAAGCCTTCTAGGGAAATTCTGTGGCACTTTCTTTGAAGGTATACACTCAGGCCTGGGGGGATCTGCACCCCATCTAGGCTACAGAGCTCTCAGGTGGAGAGACAGGTTCCCACAGGGCCCAGCGCTGTGGAAGTCACAGGCCAGGCTGCCCCGGGGCAGCCACAGGAAGGGGCCAGAAGTGCTCCTGACATTCGAACAGGCCAATGGTCTCCCCGAAGGAGAAGAGAACAGGACGGAAGGGAGTCTAATGGACGGGAGCTGACATTCCCCCCGCTTCGTGACCGAGGGCCCCTGACTCACCTGTGGCTCCGTGGGTTCGAGGCCACGACCTAGGGCAGAACAGAGGAGCAAGGTGTCAGTCAGCCGCAAAGATCAGACCTTCCCGGAAGGGGTGGCCGGTCACCAGAGGCCATTTCATGGGCCCATCTACAGAGCGATTTCTTGATATTTGCATTTTTCTAGGCCTAGAGTAACAACGCATGACAGAGAATATAGAAAATGGAAAAATGTGTGTGGAAGGAAACAATCAGAAACACAGGTGATGTTTGGGCAAAACTCCTTTTCACAGGTGCCCGGGTGTATGAGGACGCATGCAGACCCTCAATATACAGGTGCATGAGCATAGCATATAAGAACGTGTAGGTTTCTGATGTTAAAAACGTGCTGTATATCTTATTTTATTTTATTTTATTTTATTTTTTATCCTCACCGGAGGACATTTTTCCATTTTTTGTTCAGATAGAGTTGGGGGCTGGGGGGAGAGGAAGGAGAGAGAGAGAAACATCGACGTGAAAGGGACACATCGAGTGGCTGCCACCCGCATGACCCAACCAGGGCCGGGGACAAACTGCAAACGAGGTACCTGCCCTTAGCGGGAACCGAACCCGGGTCTCTCTGGACCTCAGGCCAGTGCTCTAACCGCTGAGGCAAACCGGCCAGGGCTGTGCTGTATATCTTTAACTGTTATTCAAAAACATACTTCCGGACTGTGTAATTTCTGGAAGGGGCCGTCGGGCTGGCTAGTTTCCCTATCATGAGCAATGCTGCCATGTGCACCCGCCCCTTGTTTTTCACCTCGTTGCTGAATCTGTCCATGGACACACTTGCCAGGAGCGGGAAGGGGGCAGCCGTGGCCTAGCCCCTGTTCACATCGATCACGGGGAGCCTCCGCAGGGGCCGCAGCAGCTCGTATCCCAGGCCTCAGGTGGCCGTGACCGTCCCCTGCGTGTCATTGTCCTTTGAAACAATGTTGCCTATTGCCCCTTCATTCCTGTCTCGCTTCCTTGACCACTAGTGAGAGCGAATTTTATTATTATTATTATTATTTTTATCCTCACCGGAGGACATTCTTGCGTTCATCTTCAGATAGAGTGGGAGGGTGAGAGGGAGGAAGAGAGAAACATTGATGTGAGAGAGATGCATTGAGTGCTTGCACCCACACGACTCCAACCGGGGCTGGGGACAAACTGCATCCGAGGTATGTGCCCTTAGCAGCGGTTCTCAGCCTGTGGGTCGTGACCTCTTTGGGGGTTGAATGACCCTTTCACAGGGGTCGCCTAAGACCATCAGAAAACACATATTTCCGATGGTCTCAGGAACCGAGACACCGCCCCTCTGTCCGTCTCCAGGCGGGTCCGCCCACATGCAGATGCGCCACAGACAACACGAGGAATGTATACAGGGTCGAGGCGATAGGAAGGTTGAGAACCACTGTCTTAGTGGGAACCGAACCCAGGTCTCTCTGGTCTGTGGGCCGACGCTCTAACCACTGAGCCAAACCGGCCAGGGATATTATTATTATTATTATTAATATTATTTTCAAATGGTTTTGGGCCGTCTGCACTTCTGTGATAAGATTATGTACACATCTTCGCCATTTTCCAGCGAGCTCCCTGCCTGGCCGCCACCCGCCCTGGGACAGTGCGCTTCTGGGGCCCCCCTCCCTGACGCCGCGGTGATCTGCAAAGCCCTGGGGTGATCAGAAGCTCCGGAGGACCTCGCTTCCGTGCGGTGCCTCGTGTGTGCCCTCAGCGACCCGGCCCTGGCACCCCCTTTCCTCCGAGGCCTCAGACTGCGTCACCGCAGCAATTAGCCAGGCGTCGCAACACACGCGGGTGTAAATATTTATGAGGCTGGGTGGCAGCAGGGACACGGGGCAGGAGCACAGAAGCCGGGAGAGGCTGGTAACCAGGAGACCTCAGCCGATGAGTCCAGCTTCCAGCCTGCCCTCTGCTCCCCAAGTTAAACCCGACATGACCCTGCGGGGTAGCTGCCACTGTCCCACGTTTACAGACAAGGAAATTGAGGATCCAGGGGACCCCACAACCTGCCCAGTCCACAGAGAGTGAGGGACTTGGCAGCAGCCCGGATCCTGCCCCCCCCCTTCCCGGCCCTGGCCTGTAGGCGGCGGTCAGCCAGGCTCTGCCCGGACCTGCAGCTGTGGGCTTGGAAGCCTGTGGTTAGCTCCTGGCGCCCTTGGAAGGTGCCTGCGATTCTGCAGAAATTAACAGTAGGTCAGCCAGCGAGGAGCCAGCCGATCATTAATCTGGGGCTCGGGACTCTCTCGGACACTTTTAACACACGGCCTCTTCACGTGTGGCCACGGCAGGGGTGGGGGCCGAGCGCAAGCCGGGGGCTCCAGCACAGCCCTCCCAGGCTCCCGGAGAGAACTCCAGCCTTGACATCGATTTCATCTCGTCTCTTGTCTTGGTCTCGGCCAGTGTTCAGAATCAGATGCTAGAAAGCACTTGCAGATGATGCGGCCCATCGCCGTCCCCAGTGCGAGGCTCTGGAGGCAGAAGTGAGGTCTTTGCAGCCCTAAACGGAGAGGCTCTGGGGAACACGCCGTCTGCAGGAGGGGAGGCTGGGCTCCGAGGACAGCGTCCCCCGATGCAGAGGCAGCTGAAGCTCAGAAGAATGAAGCGACTTCCCTAAAGTGGTGCAGTGAGCTCTAGGCGGAGAGGATTTGTTCGACTCTAAATCCCTTATTATTTACAAGCCTAGAGAAAGCAGCAGCTTAGACCCCAGCTCTGCCTCCGAGAGATTTCATTGTCAGGGCCGCCCGAAAGCAGCTCACCTGATCCACTCTGCGATCGGCGGGTCCCCCAGCGATGGTGCTCATTCACATGTCGGTCCTCGGGGACTGCGCACCCCAGGGCCCTCCGTGCGTCAGTGCCAGCCCCGCGAAGCGCAGAGGGAGCGGCAGCAAGCAGGGGACGGAGCTGCTATTCCAGCTGAGCCCGCAAAGGGGGGGGGGGGGGGCTGAACCTGCTGCCCGGGGCTGGGAGGGACGGGGTCTGGGAAGCGTCCTGGACTCCACAGTTCCGTCTGGCCGGAGTGCAGCTGCCGAGCTCTTGAGAAGCCTCCCGTGTCCACGTTCTTTGCAGCCTGAGCCTGGGGTGATTGATGCAAGATGCTGCCAGCAAACTTCACGGAGATTCGATGTGTTTCCTCTGTGCTCGAGCGAGGCCCGTGTGTCCGCGGCTGCCTCTGGCCTGGGATGCACCCGGCTTTCGGTCCCCTGCAGACCCCTAACACGGCCGTGTGCGTGCGCCACCCTGTCCCCTCCACATCTATGTCGGGGTGCCGTGGTGGGGAGTTCACGGTACAGGAAATAACAGAACTGACCTCCAGGGGTTGGTGGTTTCCAGTATCCAAGCCTCCTTACAAATAGAGATGTCACATTTCTGAATGATTTTACATTTTCAGTATTTCTTAATCATTTAATGTGTTTAGTAATTTTTCATGTTTAAAAGGTACTAACCCCCCCGCCCCCCCGGCTGTCTAGGAGGACTGGCGCGGACGGAGAAGGCAGGGTGCAGTGTGTTCCACTTACCCACGGGAACAGAGTTTGGATGGTGTGTTATTCCAGCCCCATAGAGACGGGGCTGGGCCTGTCTCCAGGGTCACGCTCCTGGGATGGGAACTAGTTCCTCTTCGCCCCCTTGAGTGTGGCGTGCGTGGGCCCCTACGGGCCTCCCCAGGCACCCACGCGGGTCCAGAATGTGCCAGCAAAACCCTTGGGAAACAGTCAGGGTGACCTCATCCTGTGTTCTCTCCCTCTCCCGAACCTCCAGGCGAACTGGCTCAGCTCCCTGCCTCACCTGACAGAATATTCACCTGTCCTGCCCCTGACATGAAGACGACTCTGGAATTAAAATCTCTAGTGTTTGGAAGACAGTCGCTATGGTTGAGAGTTGCTAAACTCCGTCTGAACATAAGTTCCTTCCCTTCTTCCCTGTCTTTGGATGTCTGCACTGCTTCCTGTCGGGAGCGGTGGCCGGGTCCGTGCTTCCGCTTAGGACAAGCCAGCACCAAAGGGACGAGCAACGGGCCCTTTCCCTTTGCAGGAGGGCAGATGGAGGCCCAGGTCCGCCCCGGAGGAGTTCACGGTGCCCTTCCCCCGGCCGCCTGCGGGCAGGGTCACCCTCTGCCCTCTCCACCACGGGGGGAGGGGGGCTGGCACGGGGAGCCGGGAGCCCTGGTTTGGAAATGCTGGCAGTTCCGGAGAGGAGGGAGCTGGAGGGACAGCTCCACGGGCAGAGCGACCTGCAGGCAGTGGGCAGACTCGCAGGCGGTGGGGAAAAGGTGCTCAGGGCTGCGGCTCAGAAAGTCACGTAGAGGCGGCGGCGATGCGGGCGCGGGCTGGGCTGTGAGTGACCAGCTCAGTAAGGTGCAGTGACAGCGAGCGTGGCCACCAGAGCCTCCCTCGGACCATCGGCACCTGGCCAAGGGAACCCGCAGTCATCAAACCAGCACAGAGCGCAGCGCTGTCTCCAACTTCCCGCACTGGGCTCCCGGCTCCTAAAAGGGAGACCAGGCACCTCGCACAGTGCCTGCAGCATGGCCCGGGCACAGGCGCGTGTCGAATGAGCGTGAATGAACGCACTCGTGTCCAGGGAAGTGACGGTAAGAGGGCATCTCAAGGGTAAGACGCGCTGCAGACCGAGGCTGGGTCGGACACGGCAGGGACTGTCCCATGCGTGCGCACATCCCACGGAACGACCCGAGACCGGATCCGCCTTGATTTTCGTGACAGACGCGGGATCGGAGCGCCTCCCCCAGCCCATGCTTCCCGAGGCGGACGAGGTTCACGCTGAGGTGAAATGGGGTCCAGGCTCGTTTCCACACGTGCAAACTGGGTTCAAGCTCTGCCAGAGGAACCCTTCACTCCTTCAACACGCTCATCTTCTCTGTTTAGTGGAAACAATATTTGGCCCCGGCCAGGTGGCGCACTTGGTTGGAGCGTCATCCTGTACACCCAAGGTTGTGGGCTCCATTCCTGGTCAGGGCACCTGCCTAGGTTTGGGTTTGATATCTGGTTGGGGTGCATGAGGAGGCCACAGTCGATGTCTCTCTCGTGTCCGTGTCTGTCTCTCTTTCTCTCCCCCTTCCTCTCTTTCTAAAATCAATGGACACATGTCTTCAGGTGAGATTTAAAAAACACATTCGGGTGCACATGACCCCCTGAACAAGTCCTGGGGAAAATGCTGGAAGTGTTTGGTACCGTTCAGAACTGTATAAAGCTCATAGCCACCCCCCCCCCCCCAGGACTCCCCTGGCCTGCTCAGGATCCTGGCCCGAGGGGGGGGCCCATGGCCATCCCTCCTCTGAGCCCTGATGGCACGTCTTGTTCTAATGACATCACTAGTGAAGTTAAAAGGTAGTGTAGCCCTGGCCAGTTTGGCTCAGCGGTTAGAGCGTCGGCCTGCGGTCCGGAGAGACCCGGGTTCGGTTCCCGCTAAGGGCATGTACCTCGGTTGCAGTTTGTCCCCAGCCCTGGTTGGTCGTGCGGGTGGCAGCCACTCGATGTGTCCCTTTCACGTCGATGTTTCCCTCTCTCTCTCCCTTCCTCTCTCTCCCTCCCACTCTATCTGTACAAAAAATGGAAAAATATCCTCGGGTGAGGATAAAAAAAAAAAAAAAAAGGTAGTGTATGATTTATTCATTTCTTACTCAAATCTCATCGTTTTATATCTTACTTGGTTTTTATTTTTCCTTAACTAGAGTTCAAGGTCTCCGGGTGGGAAAGTGAGTCTGTGACCTGTCGTCCCTTTCACGGAAGCTGTTGCGTCCCGGACACGTGTTGAAGGAGGGAAGAGAGCTGTGTGGCTGTCTGACGGGCGGTCGTCCAGCAGGCGGAGAGCAGGGGCCACGCCAGGCCCGGGTTAGCTCGGGCAGATGCCCCTCCACTCTCTGGCCCTCCCCATACCTCCTGCCTTCTCCCTTGGGTCCCCTCCTTCTCCCTCTGTTCAAAGCTCCCCTTGTCCTCTGTGTGAGTCGAGTATGCGCCGGGGGTGGGACTAGTACAAGCTAAGGGCCTCCGGTGCACCCAGGGGGTCCTGACACCACCCTCCCTCCTTCCTCTCCGCCCTTCGGCCACTTGCCCTGAACACCTGCTGTGTCCCAGCCCCTGGTGCACAGCCCAGGAAGCTGGCCGACATCCTGTGCGGAAGCCCTTCAGCCCCTTGAAAAGCTGTCAGCTTGCGAGAGCTTCAGGGGGCCCCCGCTTTCTGCCCAGTGAGGGGGCGAGAGGGGGCAGAAGGGATCCTGCGGACCCATTGGTGCCACGACCCCCAGGGCAGCTGGAGGACAGGTGGGGCAGACAGGCCCGGCATGTCCTCCCGGTGCTCGGAATGGACAGGGTGGCTGGCTCCCCGGGGACGAGGACTGGCCCTGAGACGTCGCGGCCACCTGCACCTCGGCCCCTGGAGCAAACTCTCGCTGCAGGTGTTAGAGGCAGACAGACAGCGCTGATAACGGTGAGGTGAGGCCTCGGGAAGAAACCAAAGGCGGGAAGTGTGAACGGCTGCTGACGATGGCACAGCCGAGCAGCAGAAAGTGACGAGAGACTGGCGGTTGGAATGGGACCTCCCGGCCCGGTGCCTTGGCCTTCCACTCACCGGCGTGTGACCGGGCCGCCCTTGGCTCCCCGAGCTCCCGTGGCCTGCGCCAGGGTCTGCCCCGGCTCACGCACATGTCTTACGGTCTGTTCCGTGTTCTCTTCTGTCCCCTGCCCCGAGCGTCTTGATGTCAGGGGCTGTGTCTTCAGCTCCGATTCCCCAGTCCCCAGGGCAGTGGTCTCCCCGGGGGAAGGACATCTCGCCCACTCCCTCCCACCCTCTCGCACCTGGTCCCTATCTTCTCTCCTCTCTCCATCCCATTTACTGTGCTGTAGGGGGTGGGGACAGAGGGGGTGCTGGGCCCAGAGGCCTCCTTCTCCAGCCCCAAGGCTTGCACTGTTTATGTATGTATGTATGTATGTATGTTTTAATCCCCACCTGACTATATTTTTTTCTTTATCTTCAGATAGAGTGGGAGGGAGAGAGAGAGAAACATTGACGTGAGAGGGACACATCGACTGGTTGCCTCCTGCACGACCCCGACCAGGGCCCGGGTGAACTGCGGCCGAGGCACCTGCCCGTGACCGGAATCGAACCTGCTGCTCTTTGGTCTGTGGGCCGACGCTCTAACCGCTGAGCCACGCCGGCCAGGGCGTCCGACGCTTGCTCTCCTGGCAGCGATGCTCAAAGCCAAGGTTCTCAACCTGAATGGGGGGGAGGTAAGCCCAGGGCGTGGCCCCCACACCTGAGTTTCCGATGGGCAGGTGGGGCCTGCAAATCTGCATTTAAAGTTGTGCCCAGGTGATGCTGACCCGCTGGTCTAGGGACCCCTCGAGGAACCAACACCGCGAGGCGTCCTTATCACGGACGCGGGTGTTCTTCTCCGGAGCCTCACGCATCTGCCCTCTTCCTCGTGGAGAGTTGGGACCGGGCACAGGGGACTCAGGACTTGGAAACGAAATCCACATGCACTAACGGAGAAGACAGTGGGGAGAACTTGGAGCCGGACAGGCACTCAGTCGAGGTGAGACTCTGAGTGCAGACCCCGCTGTTACCAGTGAGTTGCTCTGGGGTCGTTGCTCTCGGGCTCATCTTCCCATCTGTAGAACGGGGTCATTGTACCTTCTCCGGAGCACGGTCGTGAGGATTGCACATCACCGTCCCTACGTGGTGTCTGGCGCACGCTGGGTGCTCCTGCAGCTGTTGATTTGAGTTTGAACTCGACTGGAAAACACGCTGGAGGAAGTTTCTGTTTCTGCCCACGTGGGGAAACCATGCAGGACAGACTGGCACCAGGCAGGTGATGAGTTCCACAGGACATTCTAGGACATGCTCGTCTCAATACTGAGGACCGGCCGTGGGCAACGGATGCCGTGTGACAGTCTCCGGGCGCAGCGTCGGGCGGCCCAGCGCCCAGCTCAGCCTTCGCTCTGCCTGTCAGCAGGAGGGCCACGCGTGCTTGCGCTGGGCCGGGCGGGAGTCGGTGGCCCTCTGCGCCTGTTGGGAGAGCTGCCTCCTGCACCCAACTCGGCCACCACAGCGGCGAGGGCAGCGTGATGGACGCCGGGGCAGCTTACATATCAGTGCGAGACCCGGACGCCGACCGCCTGCCACGCCTCGGCCGGCCTCAGCCGCGGGGGGTTTGTTCCCCTCTCCAGGCTGCACCCTTCTCCCCCTTTGGAGACCAAGAAAGCACAGTTGTTAGGACCCAGTGAGCTACGACCTGAAAACACCTTCACCACGCCTGGGACACGGCGAGGCTGGGCGCCTGTTAGTCTCTTGTCCGTTGAGAGCCTCGTATCTCGGCTCACTGCCAACGCACCCGTCTGCTCCCCAATACGGGAACCGCTCCAGGTATGGGCATCAGAGGGGGGCAGGACAGCCAGCTCACTGACTTTCAAATGCCATTTCCAAAATTCCCACGACGCTGTGATGGACATGGGCTCGCGTGAGGGGGGTCGCCCAGCTAGCGAGCGGGTCGGCGGCGCGATTTCGATCCGACTCCGATGGCCTGAGCCCTGTCCACCCACAGCGCCCACGCCCTGACCCTCACCACCACCAAACGCTGATAATGACAGTTTGCGTGGAGGATGAGAACATCAGCGTCATCGTCACCGGGGTAAGACTAGACCCAAGTATATAGCCCCAGACGTTTCGATTTGATTTATACACCTCAAATACTAATTTAGATTCATACAATACTTCCATTATGAAATATGCCGCGGTGCAGAGATTGGTACGTGTGTGGGGTTTTTTTAAAACTGGAGTTTATAAATGGTTTGGAACGGGCTGCAGGAACATCGTCTGCTGCTCTTTTCATGGATCTCGAGCATGCACGACACATCCCGGGATAATCTGCTTCAGAAGAAGACCACTGCTCTCGCTTTTCCTTCCGAAACGTAAGTGTAAGTACTGCTTTGATGTGTGTAATTGCTGCAGCCATCTCGTTGGCAGGGAGGGTTCTCACTCTTCCCTCTCCTGTGTCTCGCTGTTGTCAAGAAATAAGAAGAACGGGCGTAAGATGCATTATTTAAATGGATTTAATGTTAACATTGAAGATGTCTGAGAACAGCCACACATTTTCCTCTGCTTAATGTGGTCTGTCTCGCGAGCATTATGCACTCCACAGAGGGGAGGCATTTCTGCGAGCAAATCTTGGGGTCCCAAGAACGCGCCTTGTGCCCAGCACATAGTAGGAACGGAACGGAACGGATGTTTCACGATTGACCTGACTTGGAGTAGACGAGGGTTCAGGAGCTGGGATAGCCCACGGAGACCGCAGCACTGCTGGGCACAGAGGCGGCACCTGCAGGCACAGGGGAGGGAGTTCTGTCCGGTCCGTGACGGCCGGACCCGACTTCAGCAGCGGTCCCTCGTCCGTGAGCTTGAACTGCGCCGCGAGCACCCTGAAGCCAGGTCTTCCTTCCAGCTCTGCATGTCCAGTGGCCTGTGCAAGTCTTCATGTCAGCAAATGTCTTGCTCAGGTGGACAGAGAAAAGAACCATTTGGCGGGTGGCTCCCGCTAGTCTCCTCGCTCGTGAGACCTGGCAGTGGGCTCGCGGCCGGACCCACCCGTGAGCCGTCATCTGAATCATTCATCCGCCGGGGAACAGGAGTCCCATCAGCGGCATCTCTGGGCTGTTTCAGGTGCCCTGGGCGGGTGATGGGAATAGACCTGGTCTGAAAGGCTGTGGATGCTGGGGGCACCCACACCTGCGTCACACATGCATCGGCAGGCCGACCACATCAGGTCCCTTCTCTATGACACCTTGAAGGCCATGCCAGCTGTGGGCTGTGTGCGTGCGTGCGTGTGTGTGTGTGTGTATGTGCCACAGAACCAAGTTCTCAACAAGAAAACACTCCCACCTGTTTTTCTGCAGGCTGGAGTTCTGGAGTCTGAGATTGCTGGGTCCTTCTGTCTTTGTCCTTCGATTGCCTCTGAGATGAAAGAAAATGGATTATAGTCAGGAAATGGCAAGAAGCTAGAGGTAAAAAATTAAGTGTTTTCATTCATAGACACAATCCCCCACTCAGATTTCAGTAATGAATATTTCAACATATTTCCAAATTTGTCTTTGGATTTCCATTAGGGCTAAGCACCCCTACCCCCCGTGTTTTAGCTCTGGACAGTTTGGCTCAGCAGTTAGAGCATCAGCCCTCAGATGCAAGGGTCTTGGGTTCAGTTCCCAGTCAAGGCTACAGATGTGGGTTGCAGGTTCGATCCCTGGCCCCAGTCGGGGTCCTGTGGATGGCAACCAATCCACGTGTCTCTCTCACATCGATGTTTCTCTCTCTCCCTCCCAATCCCTCCCTTCCACTCTATCTAAAAATCAATGGAAAAATATCCTTGGGTGAGGATTAACAACAACAAAATAATAATAATAATAATAATAATTCATGTTTTATTTTATTTTTATTTTTTAATCCTCACCCGAGGACATTTTGCATTTATCTTCAGATAGAGCAGGAGGGAGAGAGGGAGGAAGAGAGAGAGAGAGATGTCAATGTGAGAGAGACACATCGACTGGCTGCCACCCACACCAGGACGAACTGAAACCGAGGTACGTGCCCCTAGCGGGAACCAAACCCGGGACTCTCTGGTCCGCAGGCCGATGCGCCAACCGCTGAGCCAAACCGGCCAGGGCAATATTTTAATTACTGAATTACTTTTTTTTTTTTTTTTTTAAGTAAGAGCTTTATTTTACAGGGGCAGCAGCATGGGACAGAAGAGGTACCCCGTCAAGGTGAGGACACGGTCTGCTCCTCACACCATCGGGGTCCCTGTGGGACCCTCCTTAAACTCTATGAGTCTCTGTGACATTGCTCTGTAAAACGAGAAGCATATACCTTCACCCCAGGGTCAAACAAGGACAGCGCCCATGGACCAAGGAATATTCTAGATGCTTTCCTATGTTAGCCGAACCTAGCCCCAAACTAGTGAACATCGTCGGTGAAGGAAGGTGGACTCCTTAACGGTAGCAAGTTGGATTCCAATACTATTAAGTGTTTTCATTCATAGACACATAGACACAATCCCCCAGTCAGATTTCAGTAATGAATATTTCACACATATTTCCAAATTTGTCTTTGGATTTCCATTAGGGCGCCCCCCCCCCCCCCCGCCGTGTTTTAGCCCTGGCCAGTTTGGCTCAGCAGGTAGAGCATCAGCCCTCAGATGCAAGGGTCTTGGGTTCAGTTCCCAGTCAAGGCTCCAGACGTGGGTTGCAGGTTCGATCCCTGGCCCTGGCATTGAACGAGGTAATTTAGGCACCTGGTGTGCCAGTTTGTGTGAAGAGATTGCCTTGTTTCAGAGCGAGTTGGTTTCTTCAGCTTCGTTAAGGCGTGCACTATCCTAGACCGTCACTGTTATGCGCCTGTTTCATTAGCCACGCAGAACATTCTTTGCCTCTGCAAGTGTCCTGGGAGCTTGGTCAGGCGTGTACAGAGGACACTGTTGTCCCTGGTGCTCCTGGCCTGGTGAGCGCTGCCGACTCATTTTCCTCCTGACTTCCTCCACCTGAGCCCAACTCACTTCTTCTCGGACCCTGGACTTCTCTGCTCCCGCCCCAGGCTCCCACAAACTGTTCCCTTTCTCAAGTCCCCATTGTCCCCATTCCTTCGCTCGAACTCGTGCTCGGAGCCCAGCCGAGTGTCACCTCCTCAGAGCCCCCGACTCGGGGTCTGGCTCCTCCCAGCACGAGTGTGAGTAGAAATGTCACTTTCGTTACAATGTGTAGCCGCAACCACGTCTGATGAGCCTCCTGACCCACCACCTCGAGGAGGCAGAGATCTGCAGGCTCGGCCTCCCCAGGGCCTGGCTCAGCGCCTGGCCCACAGCGGCCTCAGTGGCCGTGCGTGACTGTCCAGTCCGTGAGCCAGGGGCCCCGGGACCTGCGCGTGCTGATCCAAGTCCCTCTCCACCCAGGATCCTGTGTGTAGCCTGCCAGCCACACGTGACGAAGAGAACCTGAGTGACTTGTTTCCATGCATTCTGTCAATGTGAACTGACTGCCTAGCAAGCTGATGTGTTATTTCATGATTTCAAAGTCATTTAATTACTCTGTTATCTCATACATTTCATTATTTTAAACAATCCTCACCCGAGGATATTTTTCTTTTATCATCAGATAGTGTGGGAGGGAGGGAGCGCAAGACAGAGAAAGAGGGAGAGAGACACTGACTGGTCGCCTCCTGCACCACCCTGACCAGGGCCAGGGATAAACCACAACCCAGGTACGTGCCCTTGACCAGAATCGAACCCATGACTCACTGGTCTGTGGGTCGGCGCTCTAACCCCTGAGCCAAACCAGCCAGGGCTCATTATTTCATTTTTTTTTTTTTTTTTTTATCTAGGTAGAATTTGATTTATAGATCTATATCTGCATTCTGATTTCTCTTCTGCTTTCCTGACCTGAGCATCTATCTCTCTGTTGGGCCGTTCTAACTGGGCCCCCAGCCCCTCACCAGGGAGAGGCCCCTTTGCCTACTTTGTTTCCACACCAGCACCCTGGGCATCTTCTCCTCTGTCCCCGCCAGACCCTCACACTCGACCCCTGAACGTCTCTCATTCTGTCCCTCCCTCTTCACTCTAGTTCTGTCCTTGATTTTACAGCCTGGCCTCTGGCACCAGCCCCCTACCCGCCCTCCTGGCCTCCTGGCCTCGCTCCGCCGACAGACTGCGTAAGAGGCCCTTTGCAATAGCAGAACGCAGTCCGTCACCTCCGGTAAGGGGCCCTTTGCAATAGCAGAACGCAGTCCGTCACCTCCGGTAAGAGGCCCTTTGCAATAGCAGAACGCAGTCCGTCACCTCCGGTAAGGGGCCCTTTGCAATAGCAGAACGCAGTCCGTCACCTCCGGTAAGAGGCCCTTTGCAATAGCAGAACGCAGTCCGTCACCTCCGGTAAGAGGCCGTTTGCAATAGCAGAACGCAGTCCGTCACCTCCGGTAAGAGGCCGTTTGCAATAGCAGAACGCAGTCCGTCACCTCCGGTAAGAGGCCGTTTGCAATAGCAGAATGCAGTCCGTCACCTCCTGCTGGAGGATGCTCACCGCCACGAACTTCGGCCTCATCATCGAATCCAGGTACGTCGGCCTGAACTCTAGAAGCGTCTCCCTCTGCCGGCGGATGACCCCGACTGCTTCCCTAGAGCCCCTGGCTGAAGAGCAGGCCGTGGCTTTGCAGGGAGAGCACCTCTTTGATCACGTCCGCTGTGTGACTGCACCCCCAGTACCGGGTGTCTGGCTTCGTGAGAACTAAAACACGGACAGCACCACCTGCTGTCTTCCTGCAGCAGCCTGGGGCCGACTCGAGAGCCCTGGAGACTTCGTGGAAATGATGCCGCCGTCCCTTCCTCAGCCTCTGGGGACGAGCGCCAGGAGCGCCGGGCCTTCCGCAGCAGCGTGGCCAGTCTGGGAGGGGTGGCCCTGGCCGAGTGAAAGGGTCTCCCGAGGCCCTGGTCAGAGTGCAGCTGCCAACGTGGTACCGTATTCGTATGCGTGGTCCTCCAAGAGCCGCGACCCCGTCCTGCCACCTGTCGCTCTTCCTTCGCGCTGGTATCACCATGAGCTTCAACTTGGGCACCCACGAGATTCCCTTTTCCTTTATACAATCCGTGAGACGTCAAGTTCACGGAATCTCTTTTTTTTTTTTATCCTCCCCTGGGGATATTTTCCTATTGATTTTCACATAGAGTGGGAGGGAGGGAGGAAGAAAGAGAGGGAGAGAGAGAGAAACATCGATGTGAGAGAGACACATCAATCGGCAGCCCCCACACGACCTCGACCAGGCCGGGGATTGAACTGCCACTGAGGTACGTGTTCTGGACCAGAATCGAACCCAAGACTTTTTGGTCCATGGGCTGATGCTCCAACCACTGAGCCAAACCAGCCAGGGCCATGGAACTTTTTCCCTCCTTGCTACCAGTGACCGGTTCTTCCATGCTGATCCTGTCTGTCACCAGGCCCTCAGAAGGACGGGACTTCACGCTGGTTTAGCATCGTCAGACTCGTCCCATCACCACGTCTCTTCCTCAGACCTGGTGCCACGCTGTAGCAGCTCCTGTCGTAAACCACACACATTCATCTCCTAGTTTTTGTGGGGCAGAGGTCTAGGGGTGGCCGTCCTGGGCCCTCTGTTTCAGGGTTTCTGCAGACGCTGTGCCGTCAAGGTGTCGGCTAAGGCTGGGTCTCACCTGAACGCTCACCTGGAGAAGGGCTGATTCCAAGGACACCTGCTGGTTGGCAGGATTCCGGCTCTTAGGGCCTGTGGGACCGAGAGGCTCAGCGCGTTAGTGTGTTAGCTGGACGCTGCCTGTGTCCCTTGTCACATGGGCCTTCCTGACATGGCCGGTCGCTCCATCAGAACACGCACACCAAGGACACGAGAGGAGGGCTCCAGCCTCACGGAATGCAGTCACGGGGGACGTCCCTTAGTGCCGCCACAGCGTCTTGTTGAGAAGCGTCTCAGCTCACACCAGGGGAGGAGATCACACGGGGAGGGCCCGGAGCACGGGGGACGAGATACCGGGGGCCACGCATATTGCCACACTCACTGTGGACGCGTGAGTGGGGATGACCCTGAGGCAACATCCAGAAGGCTTTTTTTTTTTTTTTTTTTTGAAAAATTACAAACCAAATCAGCCAGGATCTCTCGGCAGCCTGATTTTTAACCTCCTATAATTTCTGCACATGTCCGAGCCATTTTTGAAAGTTTTTCAACTACTTCCGGAAGATTCCAGCAAACACCAGAGTAAACTGGTCCTCCAGCTCTTGCCTGGGAGAGGCCAGTATGCTCACGTCTGCAGCTGAATGCTGTACTTCTAACTCGCTTCAAATAGTCCCCACACCAAGAGTCACAAACAGCTTCTCCAAGTGACCGACACCCGTCACGCTCGTTCCGTTCCGTCCCTAAGCTGTATGGAGGTTACATTCCTGTACGCAGGTTTTTACGTGCATTAATTTATCTTTAACGGAGGACACGCTGCGCGCTCTCCTGGAGCACAGCTCCGTTTCTCGGGGATTGGAGGCGTTACAGCCGGATGCTGGACCCCTCTTCCTGTCTGCGGCGCGGAAGCCAGAGAAGCCGACGGGCACAGGCAGCCTTCCTGCCTCGCAGCTTTTTTTATTTTTTTATTTTTTTATCCTCACCCGAGGATATTTTTCCATTTTTTGTACAGATAGAGTGGGAGGGAGAGAGAGGAAGGGAGAGAGAGAGAAACATCGACGTGAAGGGACACATCGAGTGGCTGCCACCCGCACGACCAACCAGGGCCGGGGACAAACTGCAACCGAGGTACATGCCCTTAGCGGGAACCAAACCCGGGTCTCTCCGGACCACAGGCTGACACTCTAACCGCTGAGCCAAACCGGCCAGGGCCTGCCTCGCAGCTTTTTACGAAAGTTTGAATTAGACTCTAGTCCCAGATGCTTTATTCTTTCAGGCTCATAAACCCCGTCCACCCTCTGCTGCCTCACATCTTTGCATCAGCCACCTGGCCCCCTCCGGCGTTGAGCTGGTGACTCTTCCCAGAGGGACACCCACTCCGTACGGAGTGCACCGCAGTGAGGGGTGGTCCCACTCACACCTCTGTGATGGTTAATCTATGTGCCAGCGTGGCAGGCTGTGGTGTCCAGGCGGTTTGGGGGACAGCCTGTTTCCTAAGCCCCCAGCCCCATCCCGGACCCCTCTCCTCCTGTATCCTCTTAACAGCCTCCCAAAGGCTGTCTCTGGTCATGGGAACAAAGCCCTCTGACTTGAGTCCTTTACTAAACTGAA